TTTGATTTTTGAAGTGGAGATCCCACTTTGAGTTTTTTTTGCACCTGGAGATAAAATATAAAAAATTTCCTCTCCAGCATCGGGTTCGTATTTGCCCCAAGAGAAGACACCACCTTCCAACACCAAAATCCGTGCTTTACACGCACGGAGAATTTTATCCCGAATCCTAAGTAGAGATAATTCTGCGCCTAACACGCGTTTTTGGTTCACCTTTTACAGTAAAAAAGACACCAGAATTCATTCTAGGGAACTTTATCTCGATCCCTAAATAAAGATAAGTTTGTGCCTAACACGCGTTGCCGGGTAGTCTATGCTCGCGATAAATGACTAAGTCTACGTATTCGATATTGTAGCATCAAGTCTAAGAGAGTTCATTCTTTTAGCATAACGCCACCTGCGGAACGGACATAAACAATCCACATGCTAGCCCAATTCAAACGGTAGTTGGTAAAGGCTCGTCAAACTCGTTTATGGCTGAGGGTTTGCCAAAAATCCTATAAGTATTATGGTTATTTATTCTAAACAGAATGAGTAATCGTAATAAGGTACAAAAGTCACACACGTGTTGCCAGGAGTATACGAGTATAAACTGGTCCTCCCCTCTCCAACATCGGTCGAGCTTAAACCGTGTAAACTCTAGTTAATGTATGAGTATAAATTATGTTCACGCCGGTTAACGCGTTACGACAAGGGTCGAACGTCAGGCAACGCGTTACAATAAAGGTCAAACACCGGTCAACGTGTGACTATGAGAGTCGATGCCGGTCAACGCGTAACGATGAGAGTCAATGCCAGTCAACACATGACGATGACAGTCGACGCCGGTCAATGCGTGACTATGAAAGTCAATGGAAATCAAACGCCATTCAATGCAAATTGACGCCAGTGTCGACGCCAGTCAACACGACGATAACTTCGCCAAAACAAGGGTCAGGATCATTCTCATTTCCGAATTAACTCCGGGGAGCTTAATTACAATTCAGAAATAAACTCCCGATGAAGATAATCAGTTCAATGTCTATTCAACGACACAAGCTAATTCAGGAATCAACACACCAGTCTCAGTTCAAGATTTCGACAACGGTCAGACGATAAACGAAGCACTAAAAGAATTTTAGCTATTCAACAAAATACTGAATAGACTGAAAGCTGAAGAAGTCGACGAATTGAAGGTTGGGCGTATCATATCCAAAGTATTTCAAGCTCTTCTATAAAAAATAAGACTGAAATACTTTGGAGGGGGTATCTGTAGGCGTTAAAAATTATTTATAGGTTTCCGCGCACATCTCAAAATGAAGAGAAGGTGACGAACGCCATCACCCGAGTCAAACGAGATTATCCGGTACCGTAAAAGAGCTAACGAGTGCACGAATCAAGTCAATAAAGCGTACGAGTCAACGAAATGACGAAATACGTAAAACGGCGGAACAAGACCAATCCGGAGAAGCCCTTGGTAGTCGAGTCATGTCAAAATAACTCGGCCAAGGCGCCGAGCCACCCCATGGTGGCTTGCATAGTTCTGAGCCACCGTAGGGTAGCTCGCACCCAGAAATACCGAAAACATATTTTTTTGATAGTTTACTCGGGATTCTTTCGTTCCAGAGTCTCCCCAACTATTTTGAAGCTATCCCTAAACGTGGTTAAGTGGTTATTAACTAACGATAAGGTCAAATCATTAATTAATATCCGATAACGCTGCATCTAAAGCATATAAATACAAGCCTAGGATCCTATACGTAGGGAATCTAAAATTTAGGCGAGGTGTTATCCCTTGAAGAGTGAATCACGAATTTTAGAGAGGCTAGCATATCTTGGTAAAGTTCTTCAGTATAAAGAGGGAGAGTTCGAGAGATCTGAGGCCCATTCCCCTTTCCTCCGGATCAAATTTAGTTTTGATCTCGAGAAGAGTCGTAATCTCACTTGGTTGAGATTATCACTTCTGTGATTGTTTCTTTTGTGAAGCAAGAGCATTGAATTTTCATTTTGTCAACCGGATCTGATCCGCGGTGGTCCGCGTACTAACGCATCCACGACACAGGTAAATATCCCATGCAAGCAGTGAGTGATAAACGTCCTCTGTGTGTTTGAAGAGAGATATAATTTTTATTTTATTTGTGTAAACGAGAAGTCTTATAAAAAGACTAACTCTTTTGAATTCATTATAATCGATAAACGTGTAATGGATTCAGCAATAATAACAACTTTCGAGCCAAACAGTATTATTGATCGAGCAAAATGACGTACGAAGAGTAATGAACATGTTAAATTAAATATATTGTTGCTTACATTTCCATCCAATAGTGTTAATGCAAGCCGAATATGTCCCCATTCTTGATATTAACATTATCCCAAATTCTAGTCACCCTTACTTTAATGATTGCATCATTGTCTTTAGTAGTTAAATTACTGATGGTTGTGTAGTTAGCAAGCACCATCTGTGCGTCTTTTAATCTGCAGCTAAATTATGATTTCATCAGTTATGCAACATTAATTATATCATTTTTAAGATGTGATAGAGTGTAGGAATATAACAATTCAGGCTCAGGAGATTGACATATCCAAGGATTTCATCATGTTGTCCTTTGCATGTTGCATGTTGCCTGATTGGAAAGCCTTTATATATGTGTCATTGTCTTGCAAAACAAAGAGAATCACGTCAATGTCCTGAGGAGGTATAGATATGTAATTTCTTAACCGCGTCGTCTACTACACAAAGATATGCCGTCGGTAAAGTGATGCCTTGGCACTGATGGAGGACATTGGCGTTAGATTGATCTGGGAAGAGTCCATAAGGTTCTTGGTGGCGGATAAGGAGGGAGTAGGTGTCGTCAATCTGAAGGTAAATTATTTTTAAATTATTGAAGATTTGGTTTTTTGACCTTGGAGATGTTTTCTTTTGCAAAATTGTTGAAGACTTGTTTTTTTTTTCTAGTTATTTTTGGGTTGTGTCAGTTGGCACCCTGATGATGTTTGAGCCACTGCTACAGTAAATTATTGTGTGTCAGTTGTTGCTCTGACCATGTTTTACAATTTTAGTTGAGGATATGTAATCAATTGTATTATAATATGATTATATACAGGCTTTGCAATCAGGTAAAATGCAATATGCAAAGATCAACATGACAAAATAGTTGGATATGTAATCAATTGTATTATAGTGGGATTATATAGAGGGAGAAACATGAATGTAATAAGATAGTACAATTACCTGAGGTAGTGAGATGATGTAGTGAGCTATTTTTGTTTGAGTGAATTATGAATGTAATAATTGTATTATAGAGGGATTACATAGAGGGAGGAACATGAGTTTGGAGGGAATAATTATAGTGGGAGCTTGTAGTGAGATGTATTTTTGTTGTATTTGAATTTCAAAAAAATGGGAGAACAAAATTGTGCACTGTAGCCGGATTGTGCACTGTATCGGGATTTCACAGTCGGTTATTGTCACGGTTTTAGGAATTTCCAGATTTATTGTAATTATTTTTAAAAAAAATTTAATATATTAAAATATAATAATAAGTTTAACGTAGGTTTTGGTTCTTATTTTTATAAAAAGTAATTGATGGTAGGTGTACGCTATAAACAAATGTTTGACCATTGTATCGTTGTCCCTTTCATGTAAGACGCGACATCACAAGCTGTAGATGTCTCTTTTGTTTATAAACCCAAGATTTAGCACTATTTAATTTTAGAGGTTTTACTACATACCCCCTCATATCTTCAATATTTGTACACATACTCCTTAGATATTGGTGTTTGCGAAATTGCCCCTCAAAACTAGCATAGTGAGTCTTTCTACTGCTCCAACTTGAATTTTGTTTTTTAAACAAGGCAATGTCAAAATTCCCAATAATTTTCAATAAGTTTGCAACAGTCTCCCGTTGTAGAAAAAAATCAATATGATATAATTCAAGGGAAATTTTGTAAATACCAAGACTGGGAGGTAACTCGTAAATGTGAAAGATTTGACCAGCATATTCGCAAAAACCCCTTAATTTTAAACACTTTCACTTTCTGAATTTTAAACCTGTTCACTTTCTGAAAAAGATTTTTTAGTTATAAACTGAAAATTTTACCACCATTTATTTTTAGATCAACCCACTACCCTAAATCACTTGAGATCCAACATGATTGATCCCGTTTGGCAAAGAGTTAAGGAAGAAGGGTTAAATACAATGATTAATGTACTCAGCTTATTCGATATTCTGAAGGACTAAATTATTATCCCGTTAAATAAGTTTTATTTTAGCCCTTATAATCAGTTTAAGTGTTTGGGAATAACAATGATTTTGACTATTTTCTTTATAATTAAAAGGGTTAACTTTTAATCCTTCTAAATAGGAGTATTAGTAAACCACTCATTTTGAGGAGTTAACTTATTTTAATCCCTCTAGAGGGGTTAGCTTAACCATTTTATATTTTTTATGTATGGTAAATTATGGAGAGTTAATTTGCTTTAACCTTTGTATAGATTTTTTGTGTTTGACGGGTTAAAAAGGGATTAAGTCCCCTTAACCCCTTACTTAACCCTTTGCCAAACAGTACCGAAGGAATTAACTTTATCCCACTTTGTATGTTAGCACTTTAGCGTCAGTGTAACTTGTTATTTTGGCTTTAATTCATTAGATATTTTTATGTTAGAGTGGTTAAGTTTATATTGTGTCTTTAAATCAAATGCTTAAACTGATATTTTTTTATCTTTTTTATCCAGATGTCGCGGCATGCAAGTCAATTTGGCTCATTAACTAACTCCAAGTAATCCCAGATTCTGTGGGTTTTTTTAAAGTTTTTCTCATGATCAAGCAATTATGATCATCATCTCCGCAGAGTATTGCATTACTAAGAAACCTTTCATCTTTGCTCATATTTTTGTTGAACACACTGATATTGTTTCATCTTTCACATGCCTCTTGCGTATTGAGAGGTGAATTTACAGTTTGTGATAGTTGTTACAAATTCAAGGACTGCCTTCAAAGACACGTACATGCAGATGAATTTTCTCTGAAATCTAATTGCGAACTATATCCCTCTCTGTCATATACCATACCATCACTTTACAACAATTCACAATAAAATAAAATAAAATAAAAATAAAAAACCTCCACCTCCTTATCTCTAGTCTCCATAACAAAAAAATAAAACCATAAAGGGGCAAAAAAAACTTGAACACATTTTCATAGTTTCATGTATGAAAGAATTATGTATTTTAAAAAGAGAAGAAACTTAGAGAATATTGTTACCCAAGTCTTTTTTCCACCTTCTTCTTCTTCTCCACATCAACTTCACCTCTTCCCTTGTGCTCTGGCTTGCTTCCAGAGCCTTCTCCTTTCTTTCCTGTGCTCGGCCTCCCTCTCTCGGTCATTTCTTCTGCTCGCCGACGTCTATGGTCTTCACCTTCGACAGTTTGATGAGCTGTAGGGCTTCCTCGGAATTCTCTGGTCCCAGCCATTCTCTCTTGTTCGACGAAGAGCAGCTGCACCAAAGTTCGCAGCGGGAGCCTATCGTTCGCTATCGCCTGCGACCGCGCTTCTGGCGATAGTTTCCGACAGTCTATCATCTGGCACAGCCTCTTCTTATCTGCCTTGGACAGGTCTTGGTGCTCCTGAAGAGACCAAATTCAGATGCTTTAGGTACATATGATTCAAGTTTGAAGAAGTTTTGGAAATGGGTAAATTTCACAAATCCCCCGAAACTTAGGGGCCTTCGCCATCAAACCTCTCTGAACTTTTGTTTTTCCCCCCATTGAACACCAAAATTCCAAAGAGCCCTCAGATAACCCCGTAAAATGTTCAACTTTAATTCCGACAAAATTCCCCAAAAAGCAAAGAGAAGACGAGTCCCATAGGAAACAAGGAAAGAATAGAGTTGCACAGATAATGAGGTCCTCTAATTGCAAAGGGCACTTGCTGGGGGATTTTGTGGGTAAAGTTAACGCTCTTGGAGGGTCATTTGAGACACTCTGGAGTTTTGCCAGCTTTGTGGCAGAGGATTTAGTGGAGAGAAACAAAGTTAGAGGGGGTTTTCGTGAAATTTACCCTTTGAAATCGATCAGGTTTTACCTCCAAGAAGGTATCAATTGCCCTGTAAAGCCCGTCATGCTCCTCCCTTGCCACCTCCGGCAGTAATGTTGACAGCTCCACGAATTTCTCGACGGTCATCTCCCGGTCTCCGGCAACAAACCCTAAATACTCATCAAACACCTTGGCAACTCTCCTCATCCTCTCCCTCTCATCTTTCTCCACCGCCCTCCTCCTCCTAAACCCCTCCAGGAAACTCTCCACTACCGCCTCGACCACCCCGATATCAACAACCCCCTCCCTCACATAAAACACCAAGTCCCCAACCGAAACCTCGTCCAATTGCCTCCCCGCTCGCCGTACAAGCTCCGCCCTCACGCTTGTCGACGCTCCGACCAAGATCCCAATCTTGAGTAGTCTCATCAAGAACCCTCCGGAGACGGCCCCATCCTCGATAGGGATCATGCTCGCTACTGCCTCAAGAACCCTTCGTTCCTTCCCCCGCAACTCCACCATTCCATTAGGATCCGGAAGGTTCTTGACCGAATAGACATGCAATGCCTCCCCGATGAGCGCCGGGGGTAAACCACCGCTCGATTTTAAGCACGAGACGATCGTCCTGAAGTGGTTGAGGTCTAACTCGGCGATGTCCTCGGTCCACCAATCTTTGGGCGTTGACGAATTGGATATTCGTCTGGAGTAGGTGAACGACCACGTGACTTGTGACGCCGGGGTCAGGATCTTCGAGACGATCGAGTCGATCAAGGGGCGGATGATGGTGGGATCGGAGAAGGGAGGGGAGGTTGAGGATGATGAAGCTAGGGTGACGACCGAGTCCTTCCAATTGGGGAGGATGAAGGAGAGGAAGAAGGTGTGGAGTTTAGGGAGGAAGTTTGGGCGGGAGATGGAGTCAGTCATGAGGAGGTAGGAGGCGGCGGAGAGGGCGGGGAGGAAGTTGTGGGCGGAGAGGGTGATGGAGATGTTGTAGCAGAATTTCGCACAGAGTTCGAAGGCGGCCTCGCCGCCGGGGAAATCGGGGAGGATGAGCGGGGAGGACGGGGAGGCGCCGGAGGCTGGGGAGGAGGAGGGGGAGTCCGAGCAGAGGCGCTGGAGGAGCCCGCATTTTAGGAGGAGGGGGAACTGCGAGGGGAGGAGGAAGAGCTGTTAAGCATGAGTTAGTTTGAATTGAAATTTGGAGGGAAACTTTTGATACGGTTTGAATACATTTATTATTAAAACTAAGCATGAATTCTATCGCTAACACTTCGGATGTCATTCATTTTGAAAGTATCATATTCGGGGGTTATTTGCACATAGACCCCCGCAGTACGACAGTTTTGAACTTACTACCCTGGTGCAGATAGACCTCCTGGCCTAAACTCTTTTGGCTCTTTAATTTTGATATTGACCCGGTGTGACATTTTGGCAGATATTGGTCAAATACTAACGAGTCCCACCTTTGGTGAAATTTGTAGGTCTATATGACGGTAAAAGAGTCAAAAAAGTTTCTATATGCAACAATGAAGCTGTGGGGGGTATAAAATTCAAAACAACAATACCACATGAGGCTCTATATGCAATTAACCCTAAATTCCGACAGTCATCTAATTCTTTTTTCTGGCAGTTAAAATTTCAGAACCGCCAAACTGGGAGGCTGCAGAATGCTTTCTACTTGTGGGACGTGGTCTGATGATAGCATTCACAGACTTACTAATATCAAATAATGTAGAACTTGGGAGCAAACAGGGGTTTTCTTATTAAGTTTTTACTGTAAATTGTTTCTTTCTCTATCATAAGCAGTTATAAATTTCAGTCCTGTAGCTAGCAAATAGGTAAAAAGGAAAATAAGGCTAAATGGCACTTAAATATCACAGAGTTTTCCACTTTGACACCCATATAACATGAGTTATTTTTTATGGTAAATTGTTACTTTCTCCATCATAAGCAGTTATAAGTTTCAGTCCTGTGGCTAGCAAATAGATAAAAAGAAAATAAGGCTAAATGACACTTAAATACCACGGAGTTTTTCCGCTTTGACACCCATATAACATGAGTTATTTTTTATGGTAAGTAAACACCACAAGTAGTTTAAATTGGCACGTTAGTACCTTCGATCATGCAAACATGAATTTTTTTACTCAAATGTTTCTCTATAAAACTTAAATGCTATGTTTAGGGCTTTTTAACCATTAATTTTTGTTAAGTGTGCTGTTGAGTCTACTAAATTCTTTTTTAACTTAACTTAATCAAATTTAACGTGACGACCGAGTCCTTCCAATTGGGGAGGATGAAGGAGAGGAAGAAGGTGTGGAGTTTAGGGAGGAAGTTTGGGCGGGAGATGGAGTCAGTCATGAGGAGGTAGGAGGCGGCGGAGAGGGCGGGGAGGAAGTTGTGGGCGGAGAGGGTGATGGAGATGTTGTAGCAGAATTTCGCACAGAGTTCGAAGGCGGCCTCGCCGCCGGGGAAATCGGGGAGGATGAGCGGGGAGGACGGGGAGGCGCCGGAGGCTGGGGAGGAGGAGGAGGAGTCCGAGCAGAGGCGCTGGAGGAGCCCGCATTTTAGGAGGAGGGGGAACTGCGAGGGGAGGAGGAAGAGCTGTTAAGCATGAGTTAGTTTGAATTGAAATTTGGAGGGAAACTTTTGATACGGTTTGAATACATTTATTATTAAAACTAAGCATGAATTCTATCGCTAACACTTCGGATGTCATTCATTTTGAAAGTATCATATTCGGGGGTTATTTGCACATAGACCCCCGCAGTACGACAGTTTTGAACTTACTACCCTGGTGCAGATAGACCTCCTGGCCTAAACTCTTTTGGCTCTTTAATTTTGATATTGACCCGGTGTGACATTTTGGCAGATATTGGTCAAATACTAACGAGTCCCACCTTTGGTGAAATTTGTAGGTCTATATGACGGTAAAAGAGTCAAAAAAGTTTCTATATGCAACAATGAAGCTGTGGGGGGTATAAAATTCAAAACAACAATACCACATGAGGCTCTATATGCAATTAACCCTAAATTCCGACAGTCATCTAATTCTTTTTTCTGGCAGTTAAAATTTCAGAACCGCCAAACTGGGAGGCTGCAGAATGCTTTCTACTTGTGGGACGTGGTCTGATGATAGCATTCACAGACTTACTAATATCAAATAATGTAGAACTTGGGAGCAAACAGGGGTTTTCTTATTAAGTTTTTACTGTAAATTGTTTCTTTCTCTATCATAAGCAGTTATAAATTTCAGTCCTGTAGCTAGCAAATAGGTAAAAAGGAAAATAAGGCTAAATGGCACTTAAATATCACAGAGTTTTCCACTTTGACACCCATATAACATGAGTTATTTTTTATGGTAAATTGTTACTTTCTCCATCATAAGCAGTTATAAGTTTCAGTCCTGTGGCTAGCAAATAGATAAAAAGAAAATAAGGCTAAATGACACTTAAATACCACGGAGTTTTTCCGCTTTGACACCCATATAACATGAGTTATTTTTTATGGTAAGTAAACACCACAAGTAGTTTAAATTGGCACGTTAGTACCTTCGATCATGCAAACATGAATTTTTTTACTCAAATGTTTCTCTATAAAACTTAAATGCTATGTTTAGGGCTTTTTAACCATTAATTTTTGTTAAGTGTGCTGTTGAGTCTACTAAATTCTTTTTTAACTTAACTTAATCAAATTTAACATATATTTGTGATATGTTTAATGATAAATTTAACAAATATTAATGGTTAGAAAGTTGTAAAATTGACAAGTTAGTGTCATATAGGAACATTTAAGTGAAAATCTTCACATTCGCATGATCAAGGGTACTAACATGTCAATTTTAAATAACTTATGATATTTACTTACCACAGAAAACAACTCCTGGTAATTAATATAGCGCCAAAATAAGGAAAATTTACGGTATTTAAGTGCCATTTAGCCCAATTAAAATAATTCAAAGTTTTTCTTTTCCTAAAATTGATAGGACTGATTAAAGTTTAAACAAAATAACTGAAGAAGCTATACGAAAAGAATCACTTAGGTTTTGCATCTGACTAGTTAGACTAAAGTTTTAAACAAAACATGATCAAGAAAATTTCATGGATTTACATTTGAGCTGTTGGATGTTCCTCTTCCTTCCAAATGATATAAATGGTTAGCAGAAAAAGTTATCTCCTGATTCATCTCTGCTGTATAAGCCTTTGTCTTTTTCAGGCAAGAGAAAAGAAAATTTTTGAGTCTAAGATGATTTAAATTAAACTTTATATTACAGAAACTATTATGCATGTGTGTGGAAGACGGAGACTTACCTTATGCAATAAATATTTGGTATTATTGATCTGAATGATAAGGTCACTTGGTACATCAGATAAAACTGACCTGCAAATTATCAAAACATTCTATAACAGCATCACAAATTCAATTCTGAGAAGTATATATAAGGTTAAATCCCAAAACATTACATGAATTGCAGACTATTTTCAGACCCCCTTACTATCGCCAGATTCAACTTACTACCCTTGTAGTTCTATTGTCGAAGATAGGGCCCTTGAGTGAAGTTTTTTTTTTGTTCTTTTTCAGGGGCCCATCTGCAAAAATAAAGTTTCACTCAGGGGTTCTATCTGTGACTTCAGAACTTTTTCTGGGAGTCTATTTACAACAATAGAACTATAGAGATAGTAAAGTCAATTCATGATACCACCGGGGGTCTATCCGCAAATAAAATTTATAGTTAGGTGAACAAAAAAAGTTTTGCTAACCAAATATTTGCTGGTTTCTCCTAATTCAGCCTGACAATAATAGCTAAGACACTCTTTAAACAACAAAAACATAACAGATGCTAATAATAGGTCATAGAATCAACAACCTTGTTGCTTCTTCCGTGTAGAAGGTATCTGGCTTTGTTCCTAGTTTCATATACTTCATCTTTACAAATATTTCTACTCTCTACGAGTGACATGAGATCGATCTCTCAGCTACCAAACGCTAACATCTCCTTAAAGCAGCGAAAACCTGAAGAAAAGAAAAAAGAACAGAAATAATGTTGCATCATCAAAAAGCTACATGCTAGCAATGTATCATATGGGTTATCTATTTCTGACAGCATCCCTTAATTTGGGTTGCCTAATGACAAAACACTTGATAAAGTTTCTTAGAGACGTAAGTTGCCATGAAATTCGTTGTAACTAGATTATAGCCGATCACCTTAACTTTTAGATTGTAAGGATGCGTCTTCTTAATGTTCCATACCTAATTGAAATTGGATGGAAATATCACTTCTTTAATCGTAATAACATATATATTATTTACGTTGTCACGAACCTCTAATTCTTAATAGTATTAAAGTCATTAATTCCTCCCCGTTCTTACTTTAAATTCCAGACAAACCATAGCTTTTTGTACCAATAAGATGATTATGATTGAGAAACTAGTCTCTTATCTACCTAGCCATTATTGAGAGAATGCAAATCCGTGATGATTGTAGGTAGACATAAATACACGTTGGCAGTGAAAGCATTTACATTAGAGAGAGAAGTAATTACCCTTCGATTACTGCCCCAACAGAGAAATTTGAAATCCTTAGATCAGTACAAAACATGAGAGCTTTAGAGATTAACTTATATATATATATATATATATACCAAATCTTTTAAAAAGTTTTCCCATTTATTGAAGACCACTATTCTAGGAATCAGAAATTTTGCGTATAAACTAATCATTATTTAATCTTTATTCTTCCTCTTTTCTAGCATTCAACAAATCTTAATTAATCATAAGAACAGGTAGCATTTGGTGAGACTACATGAGGGCTCATTAGACTCACCACCCAACCTTAGATATGGGTGACGGGAACAACTCACCCACAACTCGCGCCTAGAAGGGAACCAAAACACAAGATTCGGGTTTCCATCGTGCCATTGTTTGTCCATAACATAAGGTCACTAGGCAAAAAGGACGTTGACGATAAAAACTTCATGGGCCCTTGTTCATGTTTAGAAAGGACATGTGCCATGATAAAGCCCATCATATACCAACCCCCCCTTGAAAACACCAGCATAGAAAAGAGGAAGAGACCCATCATCATATAAGCTCATGGTAGAGGATTTTAGCAAGCAAAATTAAAGAATTAACATAAAAAGGAAAAGAAAATAATCTCCAACAAAAGATTTGCCGTGAGATCGAGCTAGCCTAGCTGCCATTAGCGGACTTGTACTCGGTACATACCTCAAGCACTTCAAATATTCCAACAAGCTAGATCCCATCATCACCTTTTCCTTCTCATTGGCACCCAGTATATACGTGAGCCGAAAGGACTAATGGCCTTTGATTTTTGATCAAGTGCTCAAAATTGAGAGGTACAATGTACCTCAATTTATGCACCAAAGGGAGCATATATTTAGTGGTGGAGGAAAGATCTCTTAGATAGAGTGAAAGATATGCTAATAAGCAAGAAAGGAAGCAAGAAGGCGGCTCAATTCAAAGCCATAGAGCCAAAGGGGGAGTATTTGAAGGAGGAAATCTTTTATCTTTCCATCTATTGATCAGTTAGGAAAGTCAAGTGGCACAAATTGATATTCCCATGGTGTGTGTGTGGCTCAGTGCATAGCTTCTAGAACACCGAGTGGTAGTCTTATGAGCTTTTCACATCTAGATATCTTTAAAATTCCGATTATGAAAAAATGTTTAAAAAAAGTTAAGATAATTTTAGGAATCGGAAAGAGGATCCCTTCTCTTCGTCTCTCAACTGATAAATGCATGTATTGGCAACGTACATTTATCAAAAAAATCTTCAAGTATGGAACACCATCACTACACCACCACACACCACACACACACACACATAACTCAGTATCATAT